TGCTCACCAAGAGCTTCGGTACAAGGAGCGGACTGCCCTCCTGCAAAGGCCGGTCCCCTCAACTAAGTCTCAGGAGGTAATTTGCTGACTTGATTGCCACTGTGAACAATCGCTTCACGCTCTGCCCCTCTGCCCGACGTCTTGCTATTTGCTGGACCTGTTTATGTGTCGCTATAACATCTCTATCCAGCAGCTGCACTTAGTTGTGCTTTCCTGTCTACTTCTAGCCAGTAAATGTGAAGAAAAAGGAGATAGTGTGCCCAAACTGGAGGAGCTCGACAGCCTGGCTTGTCTGACTAATATGAATCTCGTATTAACTAAACGAAATTTTCTACATATGAAACCTATTAGTAGAAACCTTTCAGTGGAAACTCTGCCTTCCAACAGCTGCCCATTTCATTGAGTGTCATCTCTCTGAAGAAGTACAGGAAACAGGTCTTCATGATGGCTGGCCAGTGATTTGCTTGGAAAAAACTAAGCTGTACATGGCAAAATATGCAGATTACTTTCTGGAAGTATTTTTGCAAGATTATGCCTTCCTAAATTATGCACCTTCTTTAGTAGCTGCTGCATGTGTGGTTTCTTTGAGGATTATACTTCATCTTTCTCTAACATGGCCTAAAAGACTACATTGTCTTACTGCTTACTCTTGTGAGTTCTTAGTGCAGCATATTGAACAGCTATTGATTGTACATGATAATGATGTGAAAGAAGCAAACAGAGAGGATAGGCAGGACCTCAGTCAGCACAACTGAGTGTCTCCCAGCCCTCATGGCCAGTTCACTTTCAGCAACCTCAGTGTCTCCATCAGACACATCACACCTCACTGCAGTGTCACCATCCTGTATTGGAGCAACCAAGCTGTTACCGGATTGTATCTACCACACACACCTCATCTTACATGCTACAAATATGTCCTGCTGGATTCCAAACTATTGTTCAGGGCCTTGGGCACGTACAAACTGATGTTGGAATGTCACTAGCAATACCAGTAGAAGTTAAGCCCTGTCTGAGTGTTTCTTATAACCAGAGTTACCAGATAAATGAACATTACCCTTGTATTACTCTATGCTTTGAAAGGTGATTGCATATGAAGATAATAACTGACCCAGACTGTTTTGTGACTTGAAGCTCTGGGGCAAGCTTTTCGTAAACTTTTCTTCAAAAGGAAAGGAATCCAAATGACTTTGGAACTCATCACATATCAGCATCAGGAAGACTGAACAGCCCTTTCAGTGCACCATGAATACCTGAGAAGACTAAGCAGATATTGCAAACACTTTGACAGTATGTGTTAAATCTTGTTACAAAAAATCCACACATGACAAAAATGTTCAAGCCCTGGCTGATGGTCCAAATATTTCAAAAATACTCAATACAGCAGAAAATTTGGATAGACTCCAGTTTGCCATTTTGAGATTTGACCTGTGGTAGGTTTTGGGCCTAATATGTCAAAGACTAATGTTTATCTGTGGACTTGCCAAACAGTCTTTTATGAAGGAAAGTTACAGTATTAATTTTTGAAGAGGTCTTTTTTTGAAATTATTCTATAGTTTTGAGTTTTATTTTTGATCTACAGATGATTTTTTGACTGAATGTAAGCTCGTGAATTGCTATAGTATACCAATCTGTGCAGTAAAAAGAAAAGTTTTTAGATGATTCTATATAACTTCCTATCATAAATAGTACAGGAATCTAGATATATGTACTAAAATTAAGGGTGGATGGAGTAGATCTCTTATCTTAAAATCATGGTCATAATTGTTTTTTCCCTAAGTGACCAACCTCAAATCTTTAGAATTAAAACACATTTAACTCAGAGAATTTATACAACTTGGAAATGTTTAACTGTAATGCAACGTGCTTTGTTACATGTTATAGTATGAACAACCTTTATAACAGGTTAAAATACCCCTGCTAAGATATGTTTTCAAATGAGAACATAATATTATAGCAAAGAATGAATGAAGTGGTGGTTCCTGTCATTCACAGTACATATTTAGGTTTTGTATTTCTCAGTGCAATCAATGATCTATACTCAGATTTGATACTACTCTAAAAAAAAGTTTTTTCAAGGGAAGGCATAACTGTAAAATGTCAGTAATAGAATAAATTCCCTTAGGTTTATTTTGGACTGTGGCCAGGGTAGTTCTCAGGTTGTGCTAGAGCAGCACTTTGTTATGTGGAAGACAGGTTTTATAAGCAACCTTTGAATCCAGCTAGTCAATCTAAGCAGGCAAAGGCACGGATTACTAAATTTCAGTCGCCACTTTCATTGGATTAGCCCACAACTGCCCTGTGACACTTTACTGTACTGGTAATGAATGGAAACAGCAGTAACAGTGGTTACAGCAAGGGCAATTTGAGGGTAACACATTTTGGGGGAACAAACTTAAGAAGTACAAAGAGAAAAATCATTGTAATAACTGGCAAACTGTATATTTTGTGTCTTATCTGTGAGAAAAGAGATTTGGTGGAGGCAAGTTTTCAGATATAAAAATTAGTAAGGTGTGTCTTTTTTGTTTGTGTTTTTTTAGAGATAGCACTTGAATAGAAGGGAGTATGCATGGCAGATATGTGACTGCCCCAGTATGCATTGAAGAGAAACTTATTATTATAAAGATGTTGCAGGTGTGCAGCAGAAGTCTCAGTAATCAAGCCAATGGTCATTGTTAGAAGGGAAGGGGTTCAAAACACAGTAATGGACTGATCCAGATGGCTCCAGTGGATGAATGTGGGTGGGTGGCTTCTGCCAGCATGAATTCTTAGAGAAATGTCCTTTCCTTAAAAGGAAAATAACTTTTATATTTAGAGTACATAGGACATGATGTGGATTTGTTAGTCTGGTAGATGAAACAAAAAACCACTCAGGTAAGAACACTCACTCATGGCAGTTTTCAGGCATAAAAATTGTTTTCTGAAAGCATCATCACTTTTCCTCCTTAAAGAAGGCTGCTAATTGGATTTTATTACTTCTTACCTCAAGAAAACTTGAATTATTAGAGGGAAAGTGGGTTCAAAAGAGAATACATCTTTCTCATTCACATTCAGAACCCAGCAACCTGGTGTCCAATTTTCAGTATTTTAACTACCTCAATAATACTATGACTGTAAGATATTGGGATAGAGATCCCAACTTGAAACAGCAAATAGTGCCTGTGGTAATTTAATGTCTTGTCAAATGTTTTAAGTGGTTTATATGTTATTTTTGTTATAGCAGAATATGCCTTTTTAAAAAACTTGTTAATAACACTTTCCCAATTTGTATTAAAAAAAGCTAAAGAACACTGGATTAGTCTTTTTTTGGGGGGGGGGGAATAAAATAATTGATTACTATTGCTGCCTACCCAGAGTGGGGTGGGGTGGGGTGAACTATTTTTAAAACATTAGGTTTCAATGTAAATACAACTCACACAGCTAGCTTTAGGGGGTCCGGGTGAGATGTATGGGTTTGGTTTTGTTTAATTTATTGATTAGTCTTTAAAGTGGCTCTTTTTTACTTTTACTTTTTGAGATTTCTGGACTATCATTAAATGTGTACTGTGAAAAGATTAATGATATGTATAAGGGGCTTTACTGAAGTCCACTAAATAAACACTACTCAAGTACAGACTGCAAACCAAAAGGTACATATGTTACAACATTAATTGCAAATAGCAATCATGGTGCTAAAGTCTACACCGATGGAATTAGATGAGTGCTATGCACTTGATTTTAAAAAAAAACTAGTTTTCAGGTTTTTTTTTTTTTTAAAAAGGACTTAGGGCAAGAAACTTGTTTGAAGATTGGTTTGGGTCCCAGCTCAGACAGCAACTGTTCATCAGGTTGGCCCCTGCCAACCGTCTCTCTTCCTTTTTGCTAATGTCATTTCTCAGCCTGAATATAATATGTTGTTTTGGTCATAATATAGTGAGCTCTGGAGAAATAATAAGTAGCCCCAGCCTTTGTTCTCTGTATAAATTAGTTGTGTAGCCTGGCATTTTAAATATTTTAAAACCCTTCCTAATAAGAAGGATCACTTTCGATAGTAGTTTTGTTGCCAGAAATGTCATTGAGACATATCGTGCGTGTTTTATCCCACTTTTCCTTAAAGAGAAATTTTCTATCTCATTTGCTCCAGTCTGTCATCTCAATCTTTAAAGAAGATGGCCTGAGACCCCTTGGCCCCTTAAACCCCAGGAAGGACCTTTTCCAGTTCTTTCTGGAAAGTTCTGTCCTATGATTCAGAATTTACCCATGCCTTAGCAACCAAGAGTTTACACCTTTTCTGCCTTGGATGGTGTATAAAGAACATCATATCTGTAGAGAGAACAACTGCTGCTTACTAGTTTTGAGTTCTTGGGCAAATCATTCACCTTTCTGTGCCTGAGTTTTCTTAACTGAGGGTTCTAGTAAATCTCCGTCCTTTCTATTAATTTCATAGGGCTGGTATGAGCATCAATAAAAATGTTTTGAGAGCCATAAAATACTGTACATGTGCATAGTTATTATCACTCTTGTTGAACCTGTGGTTACACTCCTGCATCCTCTTTCTGATCTACTCCTGTCACTGACCCAATGCTAAGGGAACTGTACCCATCTAACTTTTTAAGAAGAGGCCATATTCCCAGGGGATTTATTTTATTTATTAAGAGATCGTGTAAGGGAGTTAGATTTTTGCATTAAAATGTACAGCTGAGGGGCCAGCCTGGTGGTGCACTGCTACAGTGCGCCGCTTGGGAGCACGGCGGCGCTCCCGCCGAGGGTTCGGATCCCACATACAGACTGGTTCCCACTCACTGGCTGAGCGAGGTGCGGGCGCAACACCGAGGGTTGCGATCCCGTTGCCGGTCCCGGTCCGGTACGGGCGCAACACTGAGGGTTGCGATCCGTTGCCGGACACGAAAAAAAGACCAAAAAAAAAAAAAAAATGTACAGCTGAAGAGCAAAGCTGCAGCTTGTGACATTTGCCCACAAGGCTTCCAGAGAGGCATGATGATGAGCTGTGCTTTCTTCTGCAGGCTGATGACAGCAATGGGGACTTGGACCCCGGAGTCTTGCTGACAGCTCAGACCATCACATCCGAGACCACAAGCAGCACCACCACGACTCAGATTACCAAGGTAAAAGACCAGCTGGAACTTCCTTATGGAATCCAGTGACATGCCGAGCTTGCTGCCACTTCTCTACAAGAAGGACCCCAGTCTATAAGCAAAAGTTTTCAGCTCCATCACTGCTGAGCCAAATTATTCCAAGTGTCCCAGATAGAAAGGTCCTGCTGCTTTCCCCAACAATAAACCTAAGGAGACCCTGAGAGTATCCCCACCTAGTTAGTAGTCTCATAAAGTCAGGTGTGTTGTTCTCTTTATACATCTGTTTCTGGTCAGTGAGTTCCTTTTCTGGCTGTGGAGGTAAATTTAAAAAGCCAGCTTAAAGGCAGGTATTGTTGGTGTTGCTATATTGTTGGTGTTATTATACAACCATAGCCAAAAATCAGAACTTTGGGTCTGACAAAGAATTTTTATGTCATGTCCAGGGTCAAGGCTGTGGGAACAATAATTTGGATGCTGAAATATTGGAGTTATTAGAATATGGTATATGGAAAGCAAGGACAGGATATCTAAAATTGGCAATTCGTGTTTGCTGTAGTATTAGAGGAAAATGTATTTTCTTTTAGGTGAAAAACTAGGTTCTTGACCAAGTTCTGTCACCAAAACACAGATGACTGAAAGTCAGCTACTTAATGTACCTAGACTTTGGTTTTCCTCATCTGTCAGGAAGAGAAACTTGCCTTCCCTCAGGAGATTATTTGAGGATCTTTTGACATCAATAATATGAAAATTCTTTTAAATAAAAGGTCCCAATTTCAAGCTGTGTGACATTTTTGTTCATAGTCTTCTGATTTTTTTTTTCCTTCTGAAAATAATTAAAAGGTATAGGATAAGAGCAAAGAGAGTACCTGCTGTGTTTATTTGCTGAGTTTCTGTGGTATTTGGAAAGAAGAAAAAGGAGAAAGTAAGTAAGTAGAGAACTGTGACTTCTGGTTTAGTGTATTAAAAATTTTAGCAATCCCAGGGAGTAGAGAGGTGTGTTTAGCAGGTCAGGCCAAGATATTGGACAAGTGGGTAAAAAAAAAACTGTCCTATGCAGTACCCAGCAGCAGAATAAAATTTAGAGTGGAGCTTTCAGAATAATCTTTGCTCTTTCTTTCTTTTCTTTCTTGTTATATTACTAATCTCATATGACCACCTCCCTTTGGTTCCAGACTGTAAAAGGTGGGATTTCAGAGACCCGGATTGAAAAGAGAATTGTGATCACTGGAGATGCCGATATTGACCATGATCAGGTGAGAATGTTGAGAAGATTCTGGGCATGGGAGGGGGGTCCCTGGGAAGGAAGATTGATGGATACAGGGGTTTGTTTGCAAAGGATATTTCTGCCATGTTCACCTCCAAAAAGTCTCTTCAGCTACTCCAGCTCTTAATTGAGAAGAAGGACAAAGGCAATCAAAACACAGAGGCCTGTGGGATGGGGCCAAAGATTGGGGAAGCCAGGAAGTGTAGTGGAAAGAACATGGCCTTTGGACTCAAAGACTTGAGTTTAAATGTTGGTTCTTACTATATGCTAGCTCTTAACTCTCTGGACCTCCATTTCCTCATCCATAAGATGAGGATTATAGTACCTTCCTCTCAAGGTTGCCGTGAGGATCAAGTGAGATATTGGATGTACAGCATGTGGCACATGGTGGGCTCCAAGTAAATGAAGCTATTGTTGTTCAGAAGGTATAGTATACCTACAGCCATGCTAGAGGATATCAGAACCAAAGGAAGGCATGATCCCTGTCCTCATAGGGCTGTAATAGCTGAGGAGACTAGGGGAGACATAGTGTGATGGACAAGACACCAGGAGACTTGAAACTTGATTTCTGTCCTAGATCTATCACTAACTTGCTGTGTGACCTTGGGCAAATCACTTTATCTCTGATTTTTTTTCCTCTCCTAAAAGAGAGTGGGTTGATCTAGATAATTTCTGGGCCCTTCTGAGCACTAAAATTCTATGTTTTTATGTTAATTAGGTGCTAATTGTGTGCTACAAGCAATTAGCAAATAATAAGGTCAGGATTAATGTTCCTAATTCTCTGCTGAGTGAGGTTAGAACAGTAAAGCTGCAGAGAAGAGGGGGTGGAAGAGACTGCATGCAAATGCTTCTGGAATCATTGACAGGATTGCTAGAGCAATAATTCTGTGGCCTTTATGCTGATATGCTGAGTGCCTTAAGAAAAAGGAAAACGGAGCTGACCTGCAGTGCTGGCAGTTCCCTTGGTAGCAGGGTGAGACTTACAGCTGAGAATATTGGGCTCAGGGTTCCAGAAACAAGGCTGCAAAGCCCATGTGGAAGACCTTTGCAACCTGTTTGCCTAGCTCAGTGAGTCCTGCTGCATTACCAGCCTGCACTCAACTTCTTCAGTGTGGTATTATTTGTGCCCCTGCTATGTGCTCAGTCTGCGCTAGACAGCAAGAACAGTGGGAAGAGAAGGTGTTTAGGGTTGGAGTGAGAGACCTGGGTTAAATCCTGACTCTGCGACTTACTGTTTGTGTGTCCTTGAGCAACTTATATTACTTCTCTGAACTGTAGTTTCACCATCCGTAAAATGAAGATAATCACAGTTTTCTTCCAGGGTTGTGTGACAAAGGGACAGGCACTCGTGATAGCTCATTGAGATGCTCCAGTGTCCCTCAGTTCAGTACTGAAGAATACCTGGAAGGGATAGGATGTGCCACAGTCTGGCTGGGGAAGGAGGCACTTAAAGAAGGACTGCTAAAGAGAAACAGTGCGGTGCAGGCTTTCATAGAGAGATGGGTGTAGGTAGAGTCACCAAGGAGAAGGCCTGAGCTGGGCCTGAAGTGTGAGCAGATGGGCTGGGCAAACAGGATCAGGGAGGGTGAGCAGGGGCCTGTAGAGGTGGCAGAATACCTTTCATGGAGTCAGGAGAGCAGGAGAGGAATTTTTCTTCTTCCCTTGTCCTTCCTAGAGATGGTCTTAAGAGCCAGGGTGAGCTGTCAGCTGGTCAGTTCTAGCTGGAGTCCTTTCCGATAGGGATTTTGCAGGCTCGGAGACTTGCTGTTCAAAGAGAGTGGTTTCATCGCTCTCCTTTGACTTAACCTCTGCTCTTTACCTTTTCTAAAATAATCAAAACCCTTCCAGATGCTCAAAGGGCATCCCTCTTGGAAACAAAAGGACAGTGTGATAAAGAGGGAAGTCTGATGGACTTGAGTTAAAATCCCTATTGCATTACTTACTAGCTGTGAAACAATAAGCACTTTATTTAATCACTGAACTTCAGTTTCCTCACTATAAAATGGAAATAATGATTCTATCCTAATTCACTGAGTTGTTGTGAAGTTTAAGTAAATAATAAGTGATGTGCTTAGGCCATTGCATGGCATGTAATAGGCCTTCGCCCCTTTCCTTCCTTTCTTTTACTTTAGCCAAAGACATCTCTTTCTTTTTGCAGCATGCTTCTTTCATTTCCTGTCCTGAACTTCACAATTACTCTGTGTTGAACACAGATTTTTGTATTGTCCTCTAGATTCACTTCTTGAGTGAATCCTCTGAGATCCACTCAGTTAGGTGCAGTTATCACCCCTGAAGTCACTCTCCAATTACTTGAAGATAGCTCTAACCTTCCCTGTCTGTGTTATCAGTCCAGGAGCCTGTATGCAAGATAGGGTGGGTAAGGTAATTATCAGCTTGACTTAGCCTAAATGCCCTCATACTGCAGACAGAAGGATTGTATTTTTCAGGACATCAGAGAAATGATGTTTTATGACCCCTGCCTTCCTTCACTAGCCAGGCTGCTTTTTGTCTGATGTGCTTTGTTTCTGTCTTTCACAGGTCCTCGTACAAGCCATCAAGGAGGCCAAGGAGCAGCACCCAGACATGTCGGTGACTAAGGTGGTTGTCCATCAGGAGACCGAGATCGCGGAGGAATAAGCTCAGGTAAGGGGTGTTTCTTATGGGGTTGAGGGTGCCCACTGTCCCAGTCTGAGAGAGCTCTGGACAGGAACCTTGGACACTTTGGGAGCCCATCCCCCTAAAGAGGTGTTCACACTGGGACTTGAGGCTGATGAGGAAGATATAGGAAATTTTTAAGTATTTTGCTCCAACTAAAGCAGCCAGGTCATTTGTGTCTTCTTGCCCTTAGCAGTGCCAGCAGTGTTGGGTAGGAGGAGATACCCCAAACTTAGATGTAAACCCCCACCCACCTCCTGAATCTTCATGCATCCTCCTGCTTCTTCACTTCCCCTTCCCCCACTCTGCTCTCTGCTGTCACAGTTATCTCTGAGCCAGAACCTGAGAGGCCCAGAGGAGGAGAACAAAACCAAGAGCAGGACCAGGCTGTCTGGAAATGGGTGGGCTGGGCAGGGTAGGGGAGAAACGGCTGAAGTTCTGGGGCCAGACTAGAGAATTGGAAGCAGGGAAGCTGCTTTTTGGGAGCCAGGGGTCCGGATAAATTCATGCCTAGAAGTAGTTTACAAATGACAAAGAAGCCATCAATCACCAGGTAGGACTGGGCCCTCAAGTAGGATAAAACCGCCCAAGTCCTGATTGTTGCTTATGGCCACAAGAACTTGGCAATGGGACTGGGAAGCTTTCTTCTTTGCAGGATTTTAAAATTTGCCTCTTTCTTTCCTCTAGGAACTCTCCTACCCCCAACTCCCTGCCCTTCTGCCATCCAAGAGAAACCAGCAAAATGATGAAGAAGCTAACCTGCAATAGTCAAGACTTCAGACTCTCAAGATTATTCTAAACTGCCAGAAAATTAATTTCATTTTCTATTTGGAGTTTATACCAAGAGATTCTTCTAGATATCACTGATCCTTTTGAAGACCTTTTTCTATATTGTGATACGAGAAATTGTTCAACTTTTCACTGTATGGACTGTTTTTAAAGTTTTTGGTTTTTTTCATGGAGTGGTTTGTAACCCCTTCAAACTAGCTTCTCCCCATTTATTTCCAGCCCAGATACTGACAGCGTCCACAGAATTCTTTGGGAAATCCTCCAAAGACTCTGTCAGCTGTGTTGAGGCCAAAGCCAGTTTAGTGGGACTTCCTGCTCCTCCCTTAGTTTTATACCCTTTGAATGACAGCAGAAACTTCATGAAACAGCTCTTTCCCAGAGCCAGTGATGTGACTTTACCAGAATGTCAGGCAGAGCAACTGCCCTGATCCACAGACCCCTGAAAAGTGTCCCTGACCCTTTGTTGAGGGTGATTTTGGTGAGGCAGAGACCTCTGCTAAGAATGTAGTATTGTTTTTCCTTCCTCCCTCCTGTTCCTTCTTTTTGAAGCTTCTTTAGGTCAAAGACATAAGAAGTTGCTTCAGATCTGTCTTATACTGTGAATGTTTGAATATATCCATGGCCTTCACCTTCCCACTGCCCTTTAACCTCATCAAAAGCCGTGGCTAAGTGTTCCCCCAAGCTCCCATCTTGGGAGACCAAAACTCATGGAAAAATAGGCACTTTTGACCAAAAGCTCTAATGGAACATTTTTGGTGATGATTTGGGGAAGGAAAGTTAATGAGGTTTTTTAAATAAGGTTTTCTAGTTCTGGGAGTGTGCACTTCACACTGGGGAATGGTGAAGTTTACCTCAATCCAGTCTTGCTAAGAAGTATTTCCAGGTAACCATCCTTGGGCCTCTTTCTCATCCTGGGATAAGGAATGTGGCTCTGAGAGGAGGTTGTGTTCTCTGACCTTTCTTCTCCCAACAGGCATTTGCCTGAGGACACGCTTCTGGAGCAAGGGAATTGGCTTTTAGGGGCCTTCCTTCCCACAAGACAACACACGATAGGGTACAAGCCCCAGCTCCACTCACTCCCTCTTGCCCTCTGAGGTCTGTCAGGTTTTGCAGGCTTGGTTTTGTAGTGGGTTTTGAGTTTAGTTTCTTTTTCCTTTTTTTTATTGGTGGGGGGGTGGTGTTGGTTTTGGTTTTGAAAAGAGGGCTGGTGTCCCCAATTCCTGATAAGGATTTAGGGTCATTTTTATTCAACAGGGCCTCTCTAATCTTCCAGCTTATTTCTCACAAACAGATCTTCCTGGAAGCTTCTTAAAATCCTAACTTTAGGCTAGAAGTGAACTTCATGAGATAGACAGTGGGACAGCAGGTCAGGAACAGCAACTGCTGCGGGCTTGAGGGCAGTGAGCAAGGGGGAAGTCTAAAGCCTCTGCTCCTGACACTGAGAGCCAGCACATGTCCAAAGTCTTTGCCAGTTGAGTTTTGTTCAGACAGACTCAGCTACCTTGAACTGATTTGGGGTGTGTGCATTTTTCTTTTAGTACTCATGTGAGACTGTTACCACCAACAGGAGGGAAGGGAAGAGCACAGGTGGGATGGGTGACAGGCTTGGGGGAATGGAGATTGTCTCGTCTCAGGTACAAACTTACAGGTTGTGGGCATAGGTCTGAAATGATAGGGCTTTCTGGGTGGTGCCCAAGCCTGGCCCGTGATGCCAGGAATGGCGGCAAGTTAGAAATCCAACTCCCATTGGGGCTGGCCTGTTAGCTCACTTGGTTAGAGCAGGGCATTGTAACACCAGGGTCAAGGGTTCGGATCCCCATACCAGCCAGCTGCCAAAAAAAAAAAAAAAAAAATCTAACTCCCATCGAACAATCATGGAATGTGAGCTCACTTCCCAGTGGCCAGCTGTCCTGCTATAAGAGCTACTGGGGCTCACAGACCTCCAGAATGAGTGGGGGGAAAGGAAGAGGACATACCATGTCCCTTTACAATTTTAGCATACTGAGTGTTCTGTGCTATCCAGATCAGTGAATCTGGGGGCCTAAACTTTCCCTCAACTCTGTCACCAACTCACTTCTCCTCTCTGCTTTCTTGTCTGTATTGTAAATTGGGTCAGAAGAACTCTTAATGCCTTTTTAGCTCTGAGAAGCTATGATTGGAACAAGCCTAGCAAGAGGGGTGTCCTTCCAGGCCTCTTCCCCTTTCCTCCCTCTCTGGCAACAGATCTTGGGGTTTGGCAATTTTCTGGATTCTTTTTCTGCAGTTTGTGTGTGTGTGTGTGTGTGTGGAAAAACAGACTCTGTCCAGGTAGAAATGGTGAAGAGGGGGAGGAGAGTTATAGTTCCAGGGTCAGAGACTTGGCAGCAATTTTCCTAAAGTGATTCAGACACACCACAGTAACTTAACTTTCACTGCAAGTTTATTTTCACTTGAGAAATAAGGATTTTCTCCAGGCCACATGAGGTCTCTGCTACCCACCCACAAAGCAAGACCTGTATTCATAAGCTGAGCACTTAGGGAGCCTAACTGCAGGGACATGTCAGGGCACCTTTGTCCCCCTCTCCCCAGGCCCATCAGTGTGTTCTAGGGGAATGCTGGGCAGCTGGGGATAAGATGACAGTCCACCTTGGGGAATGCAGCCCGAGCTGAAGCCTGACCAACACCCTTTGATGCTCATGGGAAATCTGTCCAGGATCTCAGCACGAGGCTGGTTGCTTTTACAAATCTCTCAGATTTATTATTTTGGTGAGAAAAATGAAGGAGCTTTGTAAATTTTTTAAAAATTATGAACAATATCAAGTAGTTGTTTACATTTCTTGACAAAATAGGAACTATGGCAGCAGAATCAAATTGGCAAAATCCTTCAATTAAATAGGCAATAATTAGGTCTGCTGTTTTGGCCTTTTGTAGTAAGAGAAGTGGTTGTAGTGTTTAGATATGTGTTCGGTCTTGCTTCTTGTATTGCATTTTTCAATAAACTTAAAAAAAAAAAAAAAGAGGGAGCTGACTGTGAGGATTGATCCACTTTTAAATTTCTCTTCTCCTACCAGCAACTTGGAAAAAGTAAACATGGTTGGGGGAGACCTAAGCTCAAGCCATTTTCTAAAGCATTAGCCAAAATACAGCTTCAATGTTGTATAAAGGGATTTCTGAGAACTTGGAAATGCCTTTTGCCAACTGGATGGAGACTTTGCAGCACAGGCCACAATGAAGTAAGGAGAGAAGGGGGCTTCTCACACCTGTTTGGGGAGAGGCTAGACTTCAGTATGAAGGCATTGGCAGTAGTGTAGCCCTAGTGGGATATACCCTGCATGGCGGAGGGAAGAAAGGGATTGAGGTGATGGGAATTAAAGGCTCAGTTCCCACCCTAGATGGCAGTGGAAGATCTCAGCTCCATTCCATTTTCGCAACTTCCCAGAGGCTCAAACTCCATCCCCAGTGCCACCCTGGAAGGAGCCTGTTCCAGCCTGTAACATCCCAACCTACCCTCCGTGTCTTAGGGGTCCTTGCCCATCACTTTGGGTTTGCCAAGACACCAAGTGCATCTCCCAATCAACTTGGCCTGGATCTCCAGCCCCCTCAGGTACCTGTCCAGGGCTAAGGCCACATATGGAAGCAGAAGAAATTCCCGAGGCCGAGTCATGCTGGTCTCCACACTCCACATTAAGAACTTTCTCTAGCTCAATGAACCCTAGTGCAGTTGGCATTTCCCTGCCCACATGCAGGTCAGGATGCCTTAGCAGCTGCTGTGGTCAGAGCATCCATCCCCAGGCTGGGATGTGACTGAAGTATCTACTAGACATTGGGACTCCTGGTCCTCTGGTCCTGATACCATGGTCCATGCTGCAGCCTCATTGCAGACTGTCCCCTTCGCACTCTTCAGACCCGGGCTTTCAAGCCCCCTTCTCCTCCCAATTTGGCATACCCCCCCAGACTGAGGCGGTCCAGCCGTGGCCAGCTTCGGTGAGCACAGTCCCGAGCTGCTGGGGCCCCAAGGAGGAGCTCCCCAAGGCCCAGATCCAGAGACTTGGAATGTTCAATGCAACCAGAGGGCTGCACGGTGATGATCACGTGGCCAGTCTGGGTCCGGGGACCCCAGGGTGGGGGCAGCCCCTGGCCCTTAAGCGGGTAGCTGTTGAGCAGGGCAGGTAACCCCAAGCGAGGATTAGCAGGTTCTGAACGCAGACTCCGCACTGAAGGGACGGGAGAGGTACCCCGACGCGGGGACAGGTCCCAACTTTCCGGCTCTCCGCAGCCAATGGCAAGGGGAGTCCTGGGGCCGGGGCTGGGAAGGAGAGCGCAGTCCCAGCTGGGGCCGTCGGGGGGGCGCAGCGCCTGGGCCCGCAGCACGCCCTGGCGCAGCCGTCGCGTCTCCAAGTCTCGGTTCTCATACAGCAGCGTGTTGGCGCAGATGAACACAAACAGGCCGACGCCCATGATCACCGGTCCAAGGAGCCGCAGCCGCTCCTGCGGGCCGTGGGAGCG